TCTTCTCCTTTTCAAGGGTCCTTATCACCTTACATCTAGATTAACATATAACAACTTCCTAACTCAGCTTCTCCCCATTTCAATACAACCTTCTTACTATTACTTACCTATTAATTAATTTTCATAAAATCTCTATTACTCTCCTGTTACAAAACTCTCAAGAGTGGAGCTAGGAATCAAACCCAAGCTTTCTGAGGTAAAGACTAAAGCTCTTTCCATTGTAATCTAATGTAGCTACTTCTGAAGCCAGACAAGTAACTTGTCATCAGAGACAGAAGTTAGAAATAAATTAGCTGAAAATTTCACATGGTGCATGAGCAATGCCACTTATAGATCCTGCTCCATTTCTCTCCCTTCTGTATCAAATCATTCAGGGTCATGAGCCCTAACCTCCATCATATGCTGCCACTTCAGGGGGAGAGACTTCAGCACCTAAATTAACAGAGTATTTGGGACTCTCAAAGCTATATGCTGCTGGCACTACACTAAAAACACTAAGTACAATCCAACAGTGCCTTGTAAATTGAAAATGGCTTCATTTCCTGACATGGTCAAGGCACTTGAGAAGTATCAAGCTGTGAGTGGCACGTGCAGGATAGATTGCTTTGCACAGGGCCATTTTCCACTGATGGGACACATCAAAGGAGAAGCCCTACCAGGTGTTAGAGGTGAATCACCATGAGGTTCACTACCCCAACCGAGGCAGATGGTATCAATACTTCCAGAGAACAAGAAATCATGACAGTATTATGCTGTCTTTAACTGTAACTTCTATTGATGGGGAAGGGGGAGGAGTGCCCCAAATCTGATACATGATGAGAGTGGTAATTTTTTCTTTTAAAGAGAAAAGAACTAGACTTCTCTCTATATGAGAGAAAAAGACTACAGTGTTCCACTGCACAGAATTGCAGGTTGAACACCAAATTTCAAATCCAGTCCAATCCCTAACTTGCTATGTGATACTAGGGAGACTGATACTTACTTTCAATCTCACTTTTTCCCCCTCTGGTGAAATGAAACAGAAATCTTTATGTTTTTAGGTATGATTGTGAGATGATTCTGAAAACTATAAAGCCCTAGAACAATTTTTAAAATGTAATTCATACATTCAAGTATACTTCAAATTTAATTAAAGCATCAATTTAATATCAACTCAGAAGCAAGGTACTGTGCTACCTAGATAGCACAGCATCTATGTAGAAACTACAAAGATATAAGACATAGCTTACAGTCTAATTTGGGAGCTGGGTATAAAGGAGGTATACAAATAATTAGAGGATGAGGCACAGTGTGATAAGTGCACAAGAGGTGGACCCAATGAATTGGGAGCAATCTGTTTGGCTTCCCTCTATTTTCTTCAGTTTCTAAGATTCTTGCTTCCTACCTGAATGGCATGGGGACTGTGCCATATGGAACTTAACCTCAGAACCTTCCTGCTATAGGGCTATAATAGGACCACCTTTTCCAGGACAGAGACTAAGAAATACCCACAAGGAATGAGAAGAGAGGGGAAAATGAGACTGACATAGTCTTTAGGCAGGAAGTATTCTTTAAGTGTGGTTAAGTAGAACTTGCCCTGAGTTGTCACTCAAGAGAGCTGGGTTCAAGCCTTAATTGTCATGAATTAGCTGAGTGAACAAACTGTTCAACCTCATCTAGGTCTCAGTTTCCCAATCAGTCATCTATGGAACAATTATTGTTGTAGAACAAGTGTTTAAAGAAAAAAAAATTCTGTCCCCTCCTCCATTATCTAATTTCTACTCCTGCTTGTCATCTATGTTATTATCAATTGGCAAGAGGCTAAACCAGTACCTAATGCTTTGCTTTTATCAATTCCTAGGGAAGTGCGAAAGAGGGAGAGAGAGATTTAAGAGAGGCATTCCAGGTAGTCCTTTCTCAAGGAGGACACCTTGGTAGCTATTTTATTTCAACTTGTAAACTGAAATAACCCAATCTCCTTCCTAACCTCTCTGTTGACAACAAAGGAAACACCATTCTTTAGGTCATCCAGGCTCAAAACCTAGTTCCTAGCCTTCTCTCTTATCTCCCTCACATCCAATCAGCTGCCAAGCCCTAGCAATTTTACCTTCAAAACACCTCATATACACTTCCTTCTCTCTGCTGATACTGGCAGGCCCTCATCACCTCACACCTGGACTACTGCTAGAGCCTGCTAGTTGGCCTTCCTGCCTCAAGTCTCTCCTTACTCTGGTCCATCGTGCACTCAGCTGTCAAACTGATATTACTTAAGCACAATTCTGACCACAACACTCCTCTATTTAAGCAACTCTTAGGACTTATTATTTCCAAGTTCAATAAAAAATCCTCTGTTAGGCTTTTTAAGCCCTTCATAACCTACTCCTCTCCATGTACTCTTCCATCTAGGGGTACTGACCTCCTTACTACTCCTTGAATAAGACATTCCATCTCTATCTCCTGGCTCTATGCATTTTCATTGGCTGTCCTCCACGCCTGGAACTTTCCCCCTCCTCAACTCTGCCTTCTGGTTTCCCTTGCTTCTTTAAAGTCTCAGCTGAATTCCTACTTTCTACAAGAAGTTTTTTCCCCAAATATCCTTAATCTTAGTGCCTTCCTTCTGAGATTATCTCTAATTTATACTGTCTACAACTTGGTTCTGCTAAGTTGTTTGCAGGTTGTCTCCTCCTTAAGAATGAGCTTCTTGAGAACTGGGACTGCTTTTGGCCTTACTTGTGTCCCTAGCACTTAACACAGTGTACACAAGAGGTACTTAATAAATCCTTGTTGACTGACTGACTGAACTTCGTGCTTCCCACTTCCCAAACAACTCTAAGTCCTCTTCCTCAGTCCTCATCCCCACATGCTCTGCTATTGTCTAAGAGCAGGGAACTAGGCCAGGGAGGTGGCACAGGAGCTACTCTTTAGCAGCCTCTCTTTAAGTCATCGCTGAGCCAAACTCTTCAAATTAAAAAAAAAAAAAAAAAGGCTCTAAGAAAAGAGCTTGATTGGAAGGTCCTAATGCTGTGTTGTGTCTCTGGAAACTGAAAATGTCAAGGTCTGAAAGTATTCCATACATGAAAGCTGAATTATATAAAAGCAACAGCTAATAAAAAAAGATTGTCAGATGTTGTATTTCCATCTTTCTAGTCATTACAGGAATAAACTTATCCACAGAGAAGATCGAAACCTTTTTAAAAAACTGATACAATTAAGCCTTACTACAGCATTTCTTTTCTCCCTCTTTCCCATGTTCTCAGTAATCTCCCCTATCTTCCTCACCAATCTGCTCTTCAGAATGTTTTGGAGGCATTTTTTTATTTTATTAGCAGGAAAATGTTAGTGTTGAAGAGTCAGAAAAAAAAGATAGTGGTTTTGCACCTCTTTGTAGCAGCACTTAACATCTTTTCACAATCTTGTGGAAAATCCTCATTAAAAAAAGTCTGCATCTGCATATGTAAGGAATTTGGATGTCTCTTTTTGATTACCAAGGGGGAAGAGGAGATGATAAAGTCAAGTTCTTCTGGTACATTTTTTTCCCTTTCAGCAAGGCAAAGCATTTTTCATTCTTTATAAGGGTGAGCATTAAAGAGGAAAGAAAAAGCCAGTGAGACAGAGTCCAACCAGAAGGCAATTTTTTATAAGAGAAAAATGCAAGGGGGCCTAGCTCCTTCCCACTCTAGATAGACACACATCCCAATTCTTTTAGGAGCCAAAACTGGAGAGAGAAACACAAGAGAGTCACAGCAGGAAACTGAAGAATTGCACACATAACAAAAAAAAAATCTGTGCTTATGAACATATGGGCAACTGTGATAATTAGAGCTATGGCTGGTGGATTTCCCCCTCCCCCTTTTTTCCAGGCTTTCAATTCACAATCCCTATCATTTATAAGCTACATTCAAACTTGAATTGGAGCTCTCCTAAACAAAAAAGATATATATTTTTAAAGGGTCAATGCCATAGGTAAGCAATACAGAATCTACACCATTCTCTAGTTCTATGTAATGTTAATGTATTAATATGGCCCCTAGTATTTTATGTTAACATCCTGTTTGGGGTCATATTTGCTGCCTCTCTGAAAAATGAGAAGTCATGGTAATAAAATAGAGAGTCAAGGAAATAGCTTCCTTCTTATTCCCACAGCTGTTCAATCCAGGTTTCTTTGTGGCTCCACTTTGGTTCAGTCAGAAAGGGAAACCCCATTGGGAATCAGACCCACTAAACATACTGTCAAATGGTGTTTTATAGTTTAAATTATGACAGTTCATTTTTAGCCACTATTCTACAGGAAACCAGGCTTCGTTACCTCTGGCAGGAGGTGAAAACACTTCATTGAGATCCTTCTACACCCTGCCAATTTTTTCTAAAGCATTTATTTTGGGAAAGCCATCATGATCAACAACTAAACCAAAAAGGGGATGGTAAACAAGTCACTAAATGGGTTTTTATAAATCATTTCTAGTTTTTTTTTTTTAAAAAGGTTTGATGTCTCTTTAAAAGGCATTCATTTCAAAGGCTTGTCCTAAGAGAAACAGATAGTATGCAGCACTGGTGCACTTTTGATCTCCCTGACCCCCAGGAGAAAATTAATAATACAACTTTAATGTATTTGTATAGCAAGACTTAACGTTATTATTATTATTTTCTCCAACTCAGCTTCTTAACTAAATGGAGAAAGGTAAATTGGCTCTCAGCACCGCCCTGTGGTGAGAGAAGAATTTTTTTTTAAAGTTAAATGATAGTAGAGCTGCATTCAATAAAAATGGTTCAATTAAAAACCAATTACCTTCTTGAATGCAACCTGTTAAAAGGTTCACTTTGTAGAGCTGTTTGATGCAAGGGGGAAGGGAACAGGTAGATTGGTCCTGAAGAAACAGGGGAGTGGAGGGTAAGGGCTCCTGAGGCCTGATGACTCCAGGTGTCAGAACAATGCTTTCTGCTTCTTTGGGACATTAATTCATGTGGATACTAGTCAGCTGTTAGCACTCGGCCCCGGAAATCAAAATGAAGACAAGCCTTACCTTTCTTTCAATTCGACCCAATTGCTCTTTATAGAAAATGTCACGGCGTCTTAGCTCTGCTTCTACACCTTCCAGTTCTTTGGCCTAGTTGAAAAAGAGCAAAACACACATTAGTACCCAGAAATGGCAAAAAGGGAAGCCAGTATTTGGAAATGAGACCTGGCTAGCAATTTCTGTTTAAAGTTCTAGGAATGAAGCTTAAAATGCCACATTTCTGGCTATAGTCCTAAAAGGATGGGAGGGAAATGCTTCCCTTATGATCAATTTCTTTTGGTTTAACCAACTCCTGATTAAAATTTTAATAAGTCCCTTTTCACCTTTAGGACTTGAAGGTTGAGCCTGCTCTACTGGAAACAGAATCCTGGAACCTCATAGTTAGAAGTGACCTCAGAGTTCATCCTACACTTTACCTGGGCAAGAATTCCCTTCTTCCACCTACCTTCCCTCTCCTCTGCCCCCAGTCACAGCATTCTTGACAGATGATCATCTCTAGTTCTGAGGAATAGCATGATTATCTGGAAAATGACAACTCATGGGTAACTGTACACACATTTTTCTGATTCATTCATAATTCTTCACCCTGTCTTCAGGGCTTTATGGGACAAGGTACTTCTTGTTCCAACTATACCTGGGTTCCAGCACCCAGGATTTCCCCATGCATACCTTACCTTTTTATTTACTATAAAATACTCCCTACTATTTACTCTCCTAAAGGCTTTAGCTCTGAGATAACTAAACACTCCCAACTGAGGGAAAGTCTTCTGTGCACTGAGAACTTCAGAAAGCCCATTTCCATTTTCAAGCTCAAATGCGTAAAGCAAACTATTTATGTGTCTAAATCCACTTATAAAATACCAAGTAGAAAATACTAGCCAAAAAGTTTTTGTGTAAAAAATATGTGTATAATATATACAGGAGTGGGTGTGCATGTGTGGCAATGCTATTATCTTCTACATGAGGTGAATGGACTTCATTGGATAATCAGCAGTGAAGTTTACCAATGAAAGTACTGACCATATAATAACACCTAACTATAATACAGCACTGACAGAAAGGCATTTGAAAGAAATGGAAGTATTGCTAAGAGGGGAAAGTGCCAGTGTAGCATGGCAACAGAATGGAAACTTGGGAGCCGAATTCTAGTGATGGTATTACCTTAGGGGTAGCAGGCGACCTGCATTTGAACAAACTGCTTACTTGCCTTATTTATTTATTTGTTTGTTTATTTACTTATTGCCAGTAGAATGGGAAGAATATTATTAACCTATTGCCTCTGGTGGTTGTAGAAGCTCTAAAAAGTGCTGAAAGGCTTTCTAGAATATCTCTGGAATGTAACTCTGCAGAAAAGCTAAATCAAGACAGTAACACCCTTAGGATCATGGAAGCCAGGCAGGATTTCCCATAGGCATTATTGTCAAGGTACTACCCAGAGGTTGCTTCCCGAGAATGCATGCACAGCTAATCTATATGGAGGCCTCTCAGTGGCTGACTGCTTAACTATTAGTGATCCCTAGCGCAATCAGAGGAGAGGCTGGTCCAATACAATTAAGCAGCCAGGATCAAAATATCTCCCATGGCACTAGACCTGTCATTTTCTGGCCCAATACTAACAGTCAAGAAAGAAAATGACATTTAAAAGCCCAATTGCTCTGGAGCTCCATTCATAATGGGTTGGGGCAGGTAGGGTTTTCAAGCTAAAGAGTAAGGTAGCAAGAAAAATGAACAATGGGATGTCCCAGATGCTAGGTGGCCCCTTGATAACTTAAACATCTAATGGCTACAATGACAGAACACAGTCCTGATAGCTTGGAACAAAGTTCTGCAGCCATCTGTAACTTTCTCAAGGGAAAGATATTGTTCACACATCTGTAAGAAGAAACGAGGTTTGTCTCTTCTTCCACATTCTAAAGCATTCTTGTCTTACTTCAACACACAATATAATGAACCAGGAGATCCTAAATCTGTATCTTTCACAGATTCACTTACACTTCACATCTTTTCTCAGTAACAAAGTAATTAGTATGAAAGTACAGTTAAGTCTCAATTATCCACAGTCTACTGGAAAGAAATATGGAAGTAGAGGTCAGACCTTAGTTCTGGTCCCCCCCGCCTTTTTTTTGCAACTAATCCTGTAAACTTTAGCCACGTCCAGAGTACCAATGAGGAAGAATGTTTCTCACCTCCTGACAGAGAGGTGATGGATTCAATAGGCACAATGAGGCATACGTTTTTGGACATTGCCGATATGGGGATTTGTTTTGCTTGATATGCAGTTTATTTATTACAAAGGTTTTGTTTTCTTTCTTTCTTTTTTTTTTTAAGTGGGAAAGGGTGTAGAAAAGAGAAAGTTTAATTTAAAAAAAACACGTTCCTTATCTGTAAAATGGAAAACCTGCTCATATTTGCACTTGTGCACTCTCTCTCTCTCCCGCACTCTCTCTCTCTCCCTCTCTCTCTCTCACACACACACACTTACACACACACACACACACACACACACACACACGCATGCGCACAAATATGAAAAAGGGCTTTGAAAAAGCTAAAATGTCATACAAATAAAAAGTACTGGTTATCATTCTGAATATTGTGAATTATCTATAATTATGCTTTTAGGGCATTTCATCCCATAAGGTAGTGCTTATAATGGAAAAGGCACTGGCCTTGAATGGAATGAGACTTGGATTCACATGCTGTCTCTGTCACTTATTAACCACTTATTAACTGTGGATAAGTCACAACTTTTCTGAGCCTCAGTTTCCACAACTGTAAAATAGGGATAATAATACTTACATTACTTTACTTCACACTACTGTGAGAATTAAAATGGGATAATGAATATAAAGTACTTTATAAAGCTTTAAAGCATCATAGAAGATATTATTATTATGACTGTGAAGAAATTAAAGGAGGAAAAAAGAATGCTAGTAATAATGCATTAGTAGTGTTCAGTGCAATGGTTTCTAAAATGATACTACCAATTATGAAAGATTTAAAAAGCTTTCACCTCAAAAGCCCTAGTTAGACCTCCCTTCTTGCATGTTTCTTTTCCTTCATGCTATGTGTAGATTTCAATTCATTTCATGTCTATACATCAAGTAATAACTGCCTTACAAATACTTCTTTTAGTGCTCTATTATTCTAGCTCTGATTCCTATCTAGCCCAAAATATCATTCCCATCCTTATCTATCCCAAAATACCCACCACAGTGGATAATACTCATCTTTCCTTCCCTTGGGTCCTCAGATGGTCTTTTGGGAAGACTTTTGCTCAGCGATTCCAGCAATTAAAGGCTATGCTCTCTTCCCTATTCTACAAAAAAACTCAGATTGTTCATCTATGCCTTCTAAGTTAACCATTTACAAAATGAAGAGCTATATTCCCTATCTTCTACTTCACTTGGATATTGTGAGGATAAATGAAGTAATGTGTGTTAAGCACTTGGATTTCCTTTGAAGAAAAGTGCCAGATAATCATCAAGAATGAATCCCAACTGCTGGAGATACTACTCAGGAGAGGTCAAAGAGAAAAGCGGTAGGAAATCAACTGAGCGTGCACCTTTTATACAATGAATAATTCACATGAGCAACTACTACTGGAAGCACCATATATTGGGACCAGCTCAGGAGTCGCTCAGGTAGCAGCTGGTCAATGGTGATAAAGAGCTGCAGCATCATCATCCATCAATTCCCATGATGGAATCCATAGCTGCCAGCCTCAGGAGAAGAAAATCAAAGTAGAGAGCCAAATACTGGTCCTGGAACAGTGTCCTGGCTTCCAAAGTGACCAGTGAAGATCAACAAGAACAAGAAACCATGAGGAATCCCCTTAGCCAGAAGCTTGTGCCTCAGCCTCTGCAATCTTCAGCTTCTGCCGTGGGTCAGTGGCTTGTGAACTCACTGCAGAGAACCTGTGTGCCTATCAGATGGCATCCCTGTTACTACTGAATTTGGTGTATATTTCCGAAGTGTCATTGATGTCTCACAGAAATTCAAAAAAAAATTCCATTTCAAGCCCATCTGCTGAAATATTACAGGCTTTCTCTACAGTCTCCATTTTTTATTACCATGGACAGCTACATTAAAACAGGCCTCATAGGGAAGACTTTTGTTTGTTCCTGCTGCTTTGTTCCCAGCCCCAAGTCACTGGCTACAATTTTAAGCCCTCCTAAACCATGTCAGTAAATGTGGTGGTGATGTCAAAAAGGACAGAGGCTTCAGGTGTGGGAGAACACAGAAGCAGATGGCCTCCTAGGCAACTGAGATCCTATCCTCATACATGTGTCTCTAGTAATGAATGAACAAGAGAAAGAAAAAGTAGACAGTGTGAAATCCAAATAGTATAATGAAGCTTTGTATTTGCCTAGCACCTTATCCTAGGGCTCTAATCTCTTTTCAGACTTTCTTCCCCATAAAAATCCCAAGAACTGGGTAAAGTAACAAGTGTTACTTCTTTATAAATTGGGAAATAAAGGTGCAGAGAAAAGACTTTTCTAATGTTTGAGTTGTTAATCTGGTGTGTGTGAACTTGTTCTAAATATTTTGATAAATGTATTTAATATAATTGACTTTCTTTATCATTCTATGTATTTTATTTTACACATTTTAAAACATTATTCTGAGAAGGGGTCCTTATGTTGTTAAAGGGGTTCAAGACACAAAAAGGTTAACCCAGAGGCTGCAATAAACAACCAAATCACTAATTGGTCAAAAGCTGTGAATCCAACTCAATACACTATGGCATCCTTTTTTTCATCATCAATACAGTGTTATTTAAAGTCATATTACAAGACTACTTTCAAGCAAAAAACATACTCTCACGATGCTACCTCGTATTTTCAAACTCACTGTGGGTGATTAGGAGATTCAAGTTCAAAATTCTTACCCTATATTTTATTCTATCCCTGTCTGTGGGTAATTAGAGTTGACATACCATACAGGCCCAGGGGTTTTAGAAGGTCATCTAATTCATCCTCCACATTTTACAAATGAGAAGACTTCTGCCCAGATAGGAAGTGACATGTATAAGTTCATAAAAGTAGTAAGTGACAGAGATAAGATTCAAGCCCAGAAACTTTTAACTC